AAAGACTGCATAGAATATTTAAGTTAAGCTTATGTGTTGTGAATAGCCTACAAAGAAAAGTAGATTTCTGTGTGAGACTAGTGGCGATCCTGTCATCTTTATGGACAAAAATCGCTCCACGTAAATGCCCCCTCTCTTTATGTTACCGGGGGATTCAGCTGTGTGAAGGTTTCTGCTCTCTGATCCTTTATGGAATCACAGAGGCCTTCAGGACCCGCGCGTTCGCTCCACACTCAGCCATCATCCGATCCAGTTCGGGATCGAAGTCCTGAAAGCAACAGTGGCGAGTCTTGTGTGAAATACGGCCCGCAGAGAGATTGCTTGTGATTTTATATCACTTCCATTAAATCTTGTCTTTCACTGGCCTTTATTAATAAAACACTTGACATTTATGTTTTCCAGCAATAAGCTAAGCAAGAAACGATTTATGCCACCTAAAGCTTTTTAACAAATCAATGCAACTATTTGTAATTGCTTGTTTCACAAGATTAAAAGTGCTTAGACTTGATCTCTGTCTCCTGTTTAGTGGCCAACATGACCTGCACCTCTATCGTAAACCTGCCCCCCCCCCCCCCCCAATCCACTCCCCAAGTCCTGGTCATCAGCATTAGCTCCGAACTCCATATCGCTATTATTTCTGGAATTTTAATGCCGGTACAATTTATAGCTTATCAAATGCAGTTACCTAAATTGCTGTTAGGAAAAGACAGTTTAAGTGTCTCTTTTTAATTACGAGATAATTTAAGGTTTTTCGGGCGAGGGGGCACGTCCTCCGATGGGTGACAAACACGAGACATCTCGGTGGGACGTTCTACAGTTCGAGTCCTACCTTCAGTCCGTACAAAGAGAGACTTGGAGGGGAAAGATCTGAAACAACCAGCATTTATTGCATGTTTAGAATGCTCACGTCAGTCGTCTCCACTGACTACAACAGAGTGGTCCGCATTAGACAGACGAGGAATGATGAGGTTACAGATTAATGGAAGTGATGAGTAATCATATTTCTCAGGTAGAAAAAAAAAGAAAGAAAAGGAACGGGAAAACTACAGCGTACAACTTTAAGGATGAGGAGGGGAGAAAAAAAAAAAAGGAAAAGAGAAAAAGGTGCTGCGGGATGAGAGAAGGGTGACAGCTCCCGGGGCTGCAGCCTCCCGCTCCCCTTCCTGCCCCCCCCCTCCCTCCCCCCCTCCCTCCTTCCATCCAGAGAGAAACAAAAGTGTGACGCGAGAGCGGGAGACGGAGGAGGACGGAATGACAGTGGGCCGGATGGCTGCTGATAGATGAAACAATGGGCATATTAGCTCGGGTGAGGCCGCACGCACACGTGTGTGTGTGTGTGTGTGTGTGTGTCTGTGTGTGTGTGTGTGTGTGATCTGATGGCGTGCAGCCGCGGTTTGCAGGGCGTTGCACTCCAGCAGCGTGTGACCTCCGACCTGCCTGCTGTGCTTGGTTTGACTCATTTACAATGACCATTCCACGTAAAAATATAAATATCTGGATGAAAACGAAAAGAAAAAAGCGTGTTTAACCTACATGACACATCTTTGATGCGTGGGTTGAATAGAAAAAAAAAAAGAAAAGAAAAAAAAGACAGCTTTTTAACAATATTCTTTACATCTTGGCACTGCATATTTTTCCATCTTTTCCTCGTAATTTCATATAAAATATCATTAGATTGATACACCCTCATATTATTACTGACCACTTACCCTACCCACCACACCCCCCCCCCCCCCCCCCCAACAATCTCTGTAACCCTGGGATTAGTCATGCAACGTTTTCTCGGTTTTGTTCGAGGAAATGTTCCTGTTTGCCCTTTTCTCCGAGCAGGTCATCTTTAACATACAGCAACAGAAGGCAGTGGTTGGACCATTAAAAGGAAGTATCAAAAAACAGCTTAACACAAAGAGGAAAAAAAAAAAAAATCTGTACAAAAATGTTTAGGTCAATGATAACAGAGAAAAGTCTGTTTTTCTATATTACAGTTTAAAACCCACAATCAGGGATTAATAACCCACTCCCACCCTCCCCCAAATTAGCTGTCCCAACCCCCCCCCCCCCAGCCCAGATCACCCAGATGTGGATGGTGTGATTTTTTTTTTGTCTTCCCATTTCGATTTAAAGCAAGGATTACTTAAGTAAAATACATGTGCAGCACAGTTTGCTATTCCAATACATACAGCAGTTTTTTTTTTCTCATAGCTATTTAATAGTTAATACAAAGCAGTTGCGATAAAGCAAACATCATAACACAAATGTATTTTTTTGATCTTTAAAAAAAAAGGAGAGGGAGAGAGAGAGAAAAGGACAGTAAAAGACAAAGGCTATACTGACATGTATGTACAACCTAATATTGGAGCGCCCTTAAAACAACCCGTCAGAACATGGGAGGAGGCGACTGCTGCCTGAGATTTGGAAGTTTGGCAAAAAAAAAACAAGAAAAGAAAAAGGATGTAAATCAACAAGCTCTAATTTTTCGCTTTTTTTTCCTTCTTCTTTTTCTTAAATCTTCTCTCTACGGCATCAGTCTACACATGCACGACATACAACTAAGTGCAACCGAGTGAAAATGTTTATTTTTCTCATCTAATTGAATCATTCCCTACAGGTTCGAACTGAGGTATGCGTCCTAACGGTTTTTTTTCTCATAATGTTATCTTTAGTAATGTGGAGCTGCACATGCTGAGGATGATCTAATCTACCGGCGCTTTCCCTCCTTTTTTGAACACCAAACAAAGCAGCCAGATGACTGAGGGCTTGTGGATGAGCTGGGCCCTGTTCTCACGATCCCAGCCTGGCTGTAAGTGACCCGTCCCACAGCTGCCTGGATATTAAATACATCTTCTGGAAAACGACAAGAAAGGCTCTTTTTCTTTTCCGTAAATGAGCGGCGAACTTAAAAGCGAATGAGAAAAACAAAAAACAAAACAAGAACTGCCATGAAGTACCTTGTACCCAGCTTATTAGTTGACAGGAGTGTTTTTTTAATATAAAAAGTAATAAGTCGACAGAAACGGAACACAATCATAAAGTTTTGCCAATCTGGACAAAAAAAAAAAAAAAAAACCTAAAAAGTGGCATACAATCATTTCAAAAGATACAAAGAGAGAAGGAATAAAAGAAGAGAGACACTGAATCATCGCGGTCCAGTAGAAGCAAAGAATGGGTTTCACATTGTTCTCTGCGAGCTCAGCCTTTATCCACATGCACACAATCGGCTCCGGACCCAAAAGCTCCCTTTTTTCTACTCGCTGGCCCCAAAACAAAAAGAGAGATGTATGTTTTTTTTTTTTTTTTTTTTTTTTTTTAAATCTCTTAATTTGGTCATCGATTAGTCAGCCTGCAAGCGCCTCCCTTCAGTTGTGGTCACCGCAAAGCGTCCGCGCATCTGTCCTGTCCAAGACACCCCCACCCCCTTTTGGTTTGAAGGTGTAAGGAAAAAAATAAAAACTAAACAGAGGGAACAAAAAGCAAAATAACAAAAACAGCAGTTTGAGGAGCCTTTTCTTTTTTTTTTTTTTGCCTGGATAATGTCACCGGCCCGGTCAGCGCTGCTGAGATCGTCCAGAAGGAAAGAGAGGGAGAGCAGAGATATTTGACCTCCTCTCCTATTGCAAGGAACACACAACAAGGACTTTGTAGTTTATCTTTGGTAGTCACGGAACAAGGTATTAAAACACATGAATGACTAAATTAAAAAAACAAAACATGAAATTATAATAAAACTATCAATAAATAAAAAAAGAATAGGAAAATCAAAAAGTGGTTGCTTGCAATCTCTAATATTTAACTACCGAAATGGGATTTTTTTCTTTTTTGCCGCACCATAAAACCTCATGTGGATTCTTCTCCTTTGCAGACTAAAACTACTGGATTTATTTGGGTGATGCTGATCATCGAGGTGTCCCCCCCCCCCTTTCTTTACATCTGTTTGGGCCCTTTACGGTCACTGTCAGAAGCTGGAATGTGCAGTGTTTAGGTCTCGTTTGCAGGTCCTGGGATTGTTCCATCCGGTGGCGTGCAATTATTATGAACACTCCGAACCTCCAGCCAGTCATGCGTGGGACATAAATAAAACTGCAGGGAATGCGGGTTTATCTTCAAGCGCTGGGTGAATATACGGCGGGGGGGAAGCGAGACGTGTTTGATTCACGGTGACAATTGCGTTCAGGAATCACAATTAGTTGGTCTAAATCATTATCTGGCTGGCGCACACCTGACATTTCCATTCTGCCTTAAAAAACCCGGAGCTTGTAAGTGATCAGAAATTGTGTTGCAGCTCAGCACGCTCTGCCGTGAGGGGCTGTTTTAAAGAATAATTTCATAAGGATAAATCATAACCTGCATGATTTCTCTGTCATTCATTCGCATCTTAAATTAAACTTCATTGATGCGTGGAGAGAGCCTTCATTATGAGTAGTGCATTGCCAATGGACTTCATGAGCAGAAGGGGGGGGGGGAGAGAGACCTGGGTGACTTCTTTTTTTCCCCTTTTTTTTTGGTGGGGGGGGGTGGAATAAATGACAGAAAAATACTACTTGGTATCTGACATTCTGCTTCACGTGTGTGTGTTTAAAAGAACAGCATGAAAGGAAATTATAAACATTCATTATCAAGTGCTGACCACACGGAATCTCCACAGCATGGGAATGAGGTCTGATCAGTTTGAAAGAAATTATTTATAAAGAAAAAAAAAGAAAGATCCAACAGCATTGAATAATGGAGAGGACACAATAGGCTGATATTTTAGAACATTTCAACCCCCCGGACAAAAAAATAATCCCAGATGAATAAGAAAGACCCTCCAACCCCCGATGGAATCAAACCAACGAGAAGTGTTGAAGGCAGTGACAATGAACACAACTCCGCTCTCGCACACACACACACGTACACACACACACACACACACGGTGTAAATTAAATGTCTGTCTTTGTCTCTCTCTTCAGTTTATGGTCACATGTGTGTGTTTGTATCTGAGAGATTGTGGGGGGGGGGGGGGTGGGGGGGCAGTTGGGGGGGAGGGGGGTGAGGTGAGTGGGGGACACGACCCCCGTTTGCAGTCTGCTGAGTGCAGCCTGGGGTGGCTGCGCAGCGAGGGTCTCCCACAGTCTGAGCACGAGCCCGTCGCCCCCCGTACCAAACGGATCCGTCCGACACACCGGTACAAATGGAGTTCGTATTTTTCACTTTTTAAGTGTTACTGAAATCGAGAGTAGAAAGAGATCCCCAAACAAACCAAAAAAAACAACAACCCCCTCAGTGGGTGTTTCTCCCCTCTGGTGTGTGTGGGTTCTTATGTGTTGTAATGGCACTAAAAAGTCGGCTTGGGGACGTTTGAGAGCCGGCGTCAGTTTTATCTGCTCGGAGCCTCTGTCTCCCAGGCGGCCCGCTCCGCCTCGGCCTCGGGGGGCTGGGGAGGGGCGGGGCTTGGCCTTACAGCATGTCGTCGTGGCCGTGGTCGTCGTCGTAATCTCTGTGGTGATCGAAATCCGGACTGTGATTGGCAGTCGTTACCAAGGAGAGCGGCCCGTCGTGGTCCTCGGGGTCCAGAGGCTCCTCCTTAACGCTGATGTGATGCCTGGGGGAGGGAGACAGGTTCAAGTGTCACTTCGGTTTTGTTTTGTGAACTTTTTTTTATCACATAGTGATACCTGTGCTCATTCTGTTTAGAATGGAGGAGGCAGGGGAACAAAAAAAAAACAAACGTCTGGCTTCGGTGAGACTGTGAAGAGGGAGCCTCGGTGGTGCCGACGATAATTTCAGCCTTTCTTTTTGAGGTATTCCAATCCCGGGCAAAGCTGCGGGCTTTTTATTTTTATGGCAACCGACAACAGGGTATTCACTTAGAATTGATAAATGAGGAAGATTAACAACACGAGACGAGGAGAGGGGCGAGTGGACTCTGCGGAGCGAGTGGGCTGCTGTTGTCAGCCTCCTGGTGGCGGAGGATCAGCGGCGCGCTGTGTGTTCCCCTTCCTGCTCGTTAACATGCACAACCTGCGAGGCGGGTCTCCAGAGGACGACCCCGAGCCGGCTTCTATCATTAATCAACTTCAAGCAAACACGGCAACCAGACACCGGCGTCCATGCTTTAAACTCCAGAATTAATGCATATTTTCGAGCGAGTGTCAATAAGGGAAGAAAAGCGCTGGCAGGAGAGGCGTGCGAGCCGAGAGGCAGCGGCGCGCTCGGCACAACACCGCGATAAGAAACAGAGCCCTTATGAGAATAATAACGCTGTCACTTGTAAACAAGGCAAAAACATGAGGCAACCCCCCTCCTCCTCCCTCCCCCTCAGCTCACAGTCTGGGCAAAAGAGCCACTAAAGAGATGAGATCTGCCAAATTTCTCATTACAGAAACAGAGCAGGAATAAAGCGCAAGGGGAAGGGGAGGCCTAACTGTGGCAGGGAAGAGAAAAGGGAGGAAGGAAAAAAAAAAAAAAGCATTCTGAGCAGCTGCAGGGGACTGGCTGCTCTAACCTGCGGTGCCAGGCTGCTGGAGTGGAGGCAGAGCGGTGTCAGGATGAGGCGCTGCGCTCATTTACTACAACAACAAGGGACGACTGGCACATTCCTCCTCACAAAAGCCCACATTTGATTCCCCCCCAACCCCCCACCCCCACCAGCACGTCTTGTGTGACTCGCAGCTATTGTGATGGAAGCGCCTGCATGCAAATGAGCTGACATATTTTGGTGTAAATTATAAAAAGGGGGGAAAAGTAAAGTCCGCTTTTCTATCATTTTCACATCAAAGTAACTCCACAAGTGCCGTCGCCTCGGGTCTGACTCTGTGGCTGCGGGGCAGACATGAAATTGTTATTATTATGCTATTGAACTGCATGCTGATTCCACACTTTGCTGATAATTAGCCTTCTCTGGATACTTGATTTTCGTCGGGCTGCGTAAGAGAAGGCGCTCTGGTTTTCGCACGGTGTGGAAAAGCTGCATCCTGTCGACCAGCAGCACATGTGGAAAACACACGAGCCGACGCGGCCGACGGGAGTGTTGGGCTTTTATTCGGAGCGCTGAGCCAAACCGATTGTTAACATCACTGTGAGGCTTTCACTAACTTTCATCAGGACGGAACGCCCGGGATGTTGTGCTAACGTGAGCATAATGTTCTTCAACGGCAAAATAAAACGGATTTAAACGCATTTTGTGCGTACACAAAGCTTATAGACGTTATTATGAAGGGGGGGGGGGTTGTTAGCTCTATCAGCCCAAAGACAGAAGCAGAGGGGCAGAGGGAGAAGCAGGCTGCCTTCAGGCCAGCACACCCATCCTGTCTCTGCCTTTCCTGTTCCACGGCCATGCTCAGAGCTATGTTCACAGTGATTAAGGATGGCACTTTCCTCTATTTGGCCAGGAGCTCATTACCGCACCTTTTTTTTGTTGCTTTTTTTTTTTTCTTTCAGAATTTCCCCCAAGCTCTGACATTTCAGGAGGCCATCCCTGAGTCTACCCGCGCCGCGCATCGGTGGTCCGCCCCCACATCTGGAAACGATGCTGCGTGCGCTGTATTATTTTAGGCTTCAAACAACTTAGCAGACACTCCTTTACAACAAGTGAATGGGGAGCTGCGGTTTCCAGGCCGACCGCAACTTTCCTACAAGAAACTCTTGGACGATGTCTCCCAGACTAATTACGCTTTTGTGTTGTTTTTCTTTCAGAGGCGTTTGTGAATGTGCTGCAGCTCATGTTGCGCCGTGTCGCGGCCGGCGGCTCTGTCACTCCGCGCTCTGGCATTTTGTAAATATTTTAACAAATCGGAATGCTGATTATGGCAGGGCATGGACAGACAGACAGCAGGGCACATGAGGCAGAGTTCATAAACTCTCTGTTAAAATAACACAGGGGCTCCTGTCTTCTCTTCCTGACCGGTCCGGTTTGTGGAAATTTTGAAAAGGTGGAGTTTCCTTTTCTGCAGGGAGGCCCTGCCACAGCATTGGCCGTGACCCGACACAACACTCCAATATCATGCCTCACCCTTTTATTTATTGTCCCTCATTGCTTCTGTTTGATCTAATGCCACGAGTTAGATCATTTTAGAGCAGTCTGGGTGGGCACCGAAACCGTTTCCTGTCTACATCTATCCGAAGTTTCAGCCTAAGCGGAATAAGCAGCCCGTGCTCTTTCTCTTTCCTTATTTTTCTACCACGGACTGTTGTGGTGACAGAAAGCATGCATGCCACTCACATAGCTGGCAGGGGCGAGCGTCCCGGGCTGCTGTCACTCCCGTTGCTGTTTCCATGGTCCATCGCTCCATTCATCTCCTCACGGATGGCGTTGGCCAGGGAGTTGAGGGTAGGACTTCCAATGGAAGCAGTAGTGTATAGAGGTATGCTGTTTTCTGCCATTGAAGCCTGAAAAGAAAAGCCAGAAGCATTAAACGTGAAGCGGAAGAGAGTTGTCAGCACTTTCTCGGATGCCCATCACTCTTTTCATGCCCTAAAACAAAAACTAAGTGACTGGGCGTTGGAGGCAAAGAGAGACTTATTTCTCGCTGTCTTTTAAAGTTCATGGTGAGGCAGCTGAAGATGAAGTCACTTATTATTTTTACCTGGAAGGCAGCGGAGAGAGTTGGACCATAGCCCAGGCTGGTCTGAATGTTCTTCACGAGGGCTGGACTTCTGCAAACAGAAAAATTAAGTTAGAACCACATACTCGTGTCTCACCTAGCATGCACGTCTCTGATACAGTATCTTATTTCAAAGAAATCAATGCACTTTGAACTAAACACATTTGCTGGTGTAGTAATGTGGATATTAAGGCTATAGTTCTAAGATGTTCTTTCACTCTACAATACCACACAACTGTCTTCAACACTGTGCATTTCATGGAAAGGAAGAACGGCTTGATGGAGGCACATCTTGTGAAAGCATGATTGATGGTGAGCTTAACACAAAAAGCATGATGGCAACACAGAGAGGAGAGGGTGAGGGGGGCATGCAGGTGGGGCTCGGGGGTCATTGGGTTTTGCAGGGTGGGCGGAGGTGCTTACTGTACGAGCAGCTCGTCAAAGTTCTCGTCAGCGGCGAGTTTCCGAGGCCGGCCGCGCTGCACGTGTCGGCCGCGCTTAAACTCCTCATCATCAACGGTCCAAAAGGACCCAAACTCATCTTCTACTCTCACAAAGCACTTATGCAGGGAAAGGTTGGTGCGAATGGCACCCTGGGAGAAGCAAGACCAGCAGGGAAGGGGAGGGGAGGCGCAGCCAGATGCAGATGCAGTGATCGACGGCACAGACGGGGGACGGACAGACACACAGACAGGCACAGGGAGGGGGGGAGATGGTGAGGATCAAAATGAAAATAAGCCATTGTGGGTTATGAGGCATCACCAAAAGGCTTCTGAAAGCATGAAGGGGGAGGCACGCCAAAGCAAGCAGGGACTTTGGACGCTGTGGCACACAGACAATGAAATGGAGCAGCGGTGGCAGCAGCAGCTTCTTCCCGTCAGTCAACGGGGAGACAGAAGCTAGTCGGGGCTCAAAGAGGCCAAACGTACCCACTGATCTTTTGAGGCCGTCTCTTTTGGAACTCTATTTCGTCCACTGTCCACACAGCCCCTTTTACGTTTTCTACTCGCACAAAACACTTGTGAAGACTAAGATTATGCCGGACTGCATTCTGCAGTTGGTGTGAAAACAAAGAGAGAAGAAAAGGTTTCTATCAGCACAATAAACACGAGGTCATAGGAGAGAAGAAACATTCCGACAGGAACTGGATGAATCCTGAAGGCAAACGATAAATAAACCAGAAGGTTATGGGGCTGTAAATGGTCCTTAAGTCTCAAACAACACAAACATATTTACTGGTTTCCATGGCAACATAAGTCATTGACATATCATTCTTACTATTAAAATGCTGCTACTTGTTTTCTCAGTGGGGACAAATGGAATGAATTGGACAAAGAAACCCATATCTTTTATTCATAAAAGGCCACAGAGAAGAAAGCAGCATGTCATTCTGACTTTGCATTTTTAATGGGACAAAAAATAACTGTCGAATTTTTTAAAAAATTGTATGGAAAAAAAACCCCACATAAATCATCCTGTTGTTAATCCAGGGGCAGGAGAGTGGGAGAGGAATCCAGTGTTTGGAACACCGGTGTGCCCCTATGGAAGTGCTGTCAGCAAGTGTGGGAGCTAATGGAGGACACGGGTGGAGCTGGGTGGTGATAGTGTGTGTGTGTGTGTGTGTGTGTGTGTGTGTGTGTGTGTGTGTGTGTGTGTGTGTGTGTGTGTGTGAGGAGTGGTTAGAGCTGTCTATGACTGATCAGCTCTGGCACAGAGGGGGCTGTCAGCCCTTAAACCCAACTTTATTTTTTTTCTTCTACGTTCATGTCCATGTCTCTGCTCATTTGTGCTGTGTTGCTTTGTGTCCAGATGACCAGATGAGTGATTTGTGCCGAGGTGGAAAACAAGAGTCTCCTCATCCAAACGCATGAGAGCGTGAGGGTCTCAACTAGGAGTCTCGGCTAAAGTGTGGCTCTGTCTAAATAATGCCACCCACCTTCAGAACATCCCCACATGTTACATGGAGACATTTTTGTTTTCTTAACAGAAATGCCTAATACTCTCCCTGTGGCTCATATGTTTACATAGAGGGTGGTTCACTTGAACAGAATAAGTGGAGAGCTGTTATGCATCTGGGCAAAGGTTCGTTTATGGAGGTACTACGCCAGATAATCATTTCATTCCACCTAAAATCAACCCAATGTTTAAACGCTTTAGGTAGAAAAACAAAATTACCTTCCATGTTGCTGCGTTGCGCCTAAAATAGGCAAACATTCGTGTGAACCAGTTGTAGATTTCGTTTAGTGTTAGCTGCTTTTCTGGAGATTCGAGGATTGCCTGGATGAGGAAGGGTGACAGAAAACAAACATTTACACTTTTGCTCGCTTCACAGAATTATTAATAATTCACAAGAGGCGCGCAGGTCTGAGAGAGTTCCACTGAGAGAAACACAAGACAACGGGGAGGAAGCTGTCCGTGTAAGGTGCACTTTGTTTCGAGACGTGTACAGCACAGCTGAATTCAAAAAGGCAGATTTGAATATATTTTCCTTGTGGGTGTAAATGAAGGGCAAGCCAAAACATTTCTCAGGCAGATTACAGGGCAGCAATTATGGACGGCTCAGATTAATTCCTGAGATCCCAGATTACTGCGGTCGAGCGATAATTGACTGGCCATCTTAAAACAGGTCTATCCCTACTGTTGTGTGAAATGAATTTGGACTGGAATGCTGTATCTGACAAAACTGTGTTTTGAGCTCCTAATGCATTGGAACACTCATATAAACGGATTTATAAGATCTTCTGTTTTAACTGTGCTGATGTACATTGAGAAATAATTATTTTTTATCTAAAAATACAATGTTTAGCCGCTGTATATTCTACAAGATGCAGCATGTCAAACATTTTATTATTCCACAAAATAAAAATAAAAAACATGTATGTATGGAAAAATAGTTTTCTTACCTGTCTTATTAGTGAGGCGTACGTGAACGGCGGTCTAACGTCTGCATTCATGTAAAACTCTTTGTTCTGACTGATATCTGCGCAAAGGGAGGATAGAAAAATGTGAGTGTGGAACAAAACTGCCAGTTAACACCGACCACAGCTTGATCACGGGTCTAGGTTTTGTGTTTGGGTTGTCCGACCAGTACCTGGAGAGATGGGCATGTTGTACTTTTCTGAGTATCGCCGTCGCATCGGGCCCACGCTGTGGAGGCTGTTGGCTGTGATGACGGAGTGGGTCTGGGATAGGGGCGTGAGGGGCGCTGTGGGTGTGGTGGGGGTCTGGGGAAGGCTCAGAGGGGGAGAGGCCTCAGGGGCGGACTTGGACAGTGTGACATTGGACACAAGGTTGAGCTGTGGGAGGGAATCCGAAGCAAAAAAACAGAAAACAGACAGAGCAAAGTCAGTTCTCTAATTAGCCTCGATTCCTCAGATGCTTCATTGGCGGTGCATATCTTCTCTTTACTCGCAAGATCATGCTTAGATGATGGCTTAACATTTGGAGGACAACCCCGGAGCCTCTATTCTTCACGCCTGGCTCTCTGTCCTCCCTCCTGCTTTCCAGCTGCCACTTTCCAGCTCTGACTTTCACTGCCTTTGTTTGATCTTTTGTCCTGTTTAGACAAGACACCCCACCTCATCTACAGACTGTGGCTCGCCAGCATGGAAACTGCTACTGAGGGGTTGAGCGGTGAAGGGAAGATGGGTGGCCCGCGCGGCACTGAAAAATGACAGTTTGATGCTCACAACCGCCGAACAGCCCTCCTAACAAGGCAGCCAGAGGAAGAGGCCAATCTGGGCTAATTACAAGCTGAAATTGTATTGTGAGGACTCTAATTAGGAGGCGCTTATAGAGGTGATCTGATGATTAACTACTGTTCCTGACTGACCTCCATCATTAGGGCCAGGATGGCCATTGTAGAGATGAACCTGTGGGTGCTTTTGCAGACAGACCAATGAAGAGAGCCTTTGATTTTAGCGTTGCGGTCGGTGTGCAGGGATTGGTTGGGTCAGCTAAGGCAAAGGAAGGATTTAAGAAATAATGGCTACAAGGTAAACTAATTATGGCGAATGCTCTAAAGGTATGGCATGGTTTCCAGCAGCCGTGGCTGCTCCGAGCCCAGAGCCAAGCCTCCATACTGGAACAGCAGTCAAGTGGAAAATTCTAGCCTGACCCCCTGCTCCAGCTATTAATTGGCAGGAAAACTAATGACACATATACATATTCCTGCAACATTGTTCTAATTGCTAATTTGCCGAAGGAGGCCTGTTTCCAAATGAAACATGACTTCAGACTGTGAGAAGACGAAAAGGGAGGAAAATAAAGAGGGCTGTGTGGATACGAAACCTCTCAGCTTTGACATAACACGTTGGTTTTGAGGAATCGGGTTACTGATTTCTGTAGATATTGGAGGAGCAGTGCCGAAAGATTTACTACCTTACACAAAAAATTGGACTTTATCAGATTTGTATTCATAATCAGATATTGACACTATTGCCAGCAGACAGGACACAAATGTCAGATGCGCATCCCAAGAACTCAGAGGTGAAGCTTTCTTATTCATTAGATCCTAATTTGTAATGTCTTTAGCACACAAACACATAGAAAATGTCTCAGAGTTGCACACGTCTCTCATCAAAAAGATGAGACACGACTGTGTTTTCGCAAACCTCCCAGTTCAAAAGACGCGTCCGAGTCCTAACAATGCCTATTTATGTGAACTGGGCCTATTTTTTGGCAGAGTCTGTCCAAACAATTTGGTTTTCAGCAGAGATGCACTCATGTAAGCCTCATCCAACAGTAGCAGAAGACGTGTTATTCTAAAGCATGGACAAAATAAATTACACTTGGGTTTGCGTCTTTCTGACACAATGCTATCAATAGAATGAGGCTGCGGTGTTGACTTCTCTTCCTGTGGATTAGCAGGCTTTGTTTCATGTTTCATCCATATTCCCTGGCCATAAACACAGAGAGGCTTCAACAATAGGCCAGACAGGCTGGTAATAGCCTTGCCTTTGTTTGCCTCACCATTTGGGCACACTCCAGTTCCTAGACAAAATGAGACTTCAGACTGAAATTAATTAAATGGTAATTGGTGATCTAATTATACTGGCTTTGACTCGGCAAGCTGCTAAAGAAAATAAACAAAAAGTCCCTCCTTAATTATGTATGGCGTAAAAGGTCAGATTTCTGACAAGAATGCTTAGTGACACTGGGTGCAGACACCCACCCACTCGCAGAGACAAATACAAACACACACATACACACACAGAAACATGCATTGCTAATGTGGCACATTTGGTTTTCACCCCCACCATCCCCTTCCCCAGCTACCTAACTCAAACACACACACACACACGCGCATAGAGAAATAAGAAGAAGGATCCAATTAATCTAATGCTGTGAATGCATATCATGACTTTGTTTAATTCTGGCTAAACGTAAAGCAGAAAGTTCATCAGAGCTCCTTTGCTGGGACAGTTGGCCAGTCTTATATGCGACGCCATGGACCACCAGAGATGCAGCGGCAGGAATTACTGGAAGAACACATCTTTATTCTTCGGAGAGGCTCTACTTCCCCTTGTCTTTGTGGCCAGCTCTGATGCAATCTCGCTGCAGCCTCACAGGGACCTCGGGCCTCGACCCGAGTCCGTCCCTCACTCACCCCCACTAAAGGCAGACATATTCATCACAGGATTTCACAGCGAGCCTTCAGCAGGCGAGGCTGCCCCGGAGAACGGGAGTCTATTTATTTGAATAAAAAATCCCAGCTCGCCCCCTTGAGATTGTTAACGCTGAGCTCTGACACAGCCGTTCTCCCAGGCCCAGGGGGGGGAGAGAGGAGAGCTAGTGAACTCGAGATGCTATCTGCCGCCCCGACCACTTTTCATATACAAATGTCCCCGTGTCAGAGCCCTTGTTCCGCACCCTAATCTACACAATCAGAGTGTGTGACACAGGCGCAGCCTTAACAGACAGCTTATTGTCATTCAACATCTCCAGGCGCTTTTTTGTTGACTGGCTGTGCTGTGCTGAGAGCACACGCAGCCTCTGGATGTCAATAGCCTCCTCTCTGCCTGTAAATAAATGATCCAAACGGCATAGGGGACAAGACTCCTGCACGTGTATTGTCCATTTACGCGCATGTGTGTGTAATTTTACATTCACGCCCTGCAGTAAAATGATCTCTGTTCATTTGGCTCCCTGAATGAACTGTCATGCAGACTGAAATATGATGGCCAGGCCCCGTCTTCCCTGACAAAATAGAGAAGATATTTAAATGCCATATGTTAAGCTTCTGCCCAGTAGGATATGGATTAGACGGTACCCTTTAAGCACTCAGAGAAGTAAGTATAATGTTTAGAATATTTAAAGAAGATAATCATTTCAACAGCCAGATCAGACTGCCCCCCTCGCACAAAGACATTCTGATTTTGATTTCTCCTTTTAAACAATTTCACATCACAGTGAAAAACGCTGGCACCGCATTTCCCGTCACAAAAAGAGAAAAATGAGAACAAACCTTACGCTGTTCTTTTGTCTGTTTATTATTCTTTCTGTGACCCATGATCAGCTGCTGCTCAGGACAAGTTCGACCAATTATCAGGATTACTGTAAAACGGGCTGAGGGTGATTCCTGACAACTACTTAACCCTTCAGATGGAGCAGAAATGTCCTGAGGGAAGCTTCTAAATCAGATGCTGCTAACATCGATACACAGGAAAGACACTGATGTGCACCAGCTAGTCAGATTCTCTCAGAAGTGGTGACCATTACCCTGCGTATCAATAATCTCCCAACTATTATACTCCACACTGAATTAGTGGAAAACTGATTTTTTTTTTTTTGTTATTTTTTCATTTACACATGTAGGAAGGCCTTCATGTCATGCTGATGTGATGTGAACGTGCCGGAAGAAGCGCACGTCAAACCAGTTAAATTCAATCACATTTCGTTCCATTTTTTTATTTTATTTAGAGCGAGTGTCCACCATTTCTATTTTGTTGCACTTGTCTCATCTTTTTCTGTAAGCTCACACAGGCGCTGCTTCTCTGAAGCAGAGATGGGGGGCCATTACCGAGTGCGCATCCAGTTCATCACAGGCACCAAATTGAATCTCGGATGTCAGCAGATGTGGTCCAAACTATATTTACTGCCTCCCTCAAGAGAACAGCTGTTTTTATTTAGCAGATAAATAATAAGATGGAGGAAGGGATTAATGAATACATGTGTGCCAATTAAGACAAACAAAAGGATGGGGGAGGGACGGAAGCGAGATGTATGACAGGGTTGCTGCTCACCGGCTGTGGGGCGGCTTTGGGCTCTGTGGACTTGACATGGAGATGCGTCATCATAGCTTGCAGACGCTCTTTGTCTTTTGCTAGCTGTAATGAGAAAGAAGAAAACACTTTTTTTCTCCCCCTTTTCGGGCACACAAAAATACAAATCTCTATCTCTGTTGCTTTACGCTGAGAACATCTTCAACAATGGCCATACCCCAGGACACATTTTTCTCTTCTAACGGTGTAAAATTATCGGCTTTTGAAAATGTCTGTGGAAGCTGTCAACAAGTCGGCACCTCTGACAAACTCATTTCTGACTGCAAGTCCGAGAGAAATTCCACCGTGTTACATTCCCTTACATAAGCCCAAGTTCGTTCTACATTCCTGAAACTCAGTGCTGTCTCAGCTGCCAGCTTAAATTATGGTGACGGGCTACAGGCAGAGGAAGTGTGTGTTTGGTAAACCCTCTCCGATCCCTTTGGACGATAAACCACCAGAGCAGAAACAAGACATTGGCATGAAGTAACGTATGAGCATCTAAGATCAACATCCTGTCAACCTTAACAGTTTTATACTCATTATAAGTCATTTTGGGGCTATTACATTACTATATGTGAATCTGAACAAGTGAACAATGCCCGTAGTCTGGGATGCATTAGTGTGGATTCTCGTTCTATTTGCTTTGCAACTGTTGCAGAAGCCAATAAGTAAAAATATTTACTCTGTGAAATGATTTGTTTAATTCCTCCCCAAATATCAGTAAATAACTCAAAATTTGCCTCACCCATGACAGTGAACCGTGCATTTTTCCGCAAATGCATATTCCACATACACATGCATTTTTTTTCTCGGTAGTAAAAAAAAAAACAGTATTAAAATCCCCTCATCACGGACAGGGTATTAAAAGGGCAGTTTTCTGCACTGGGCAACAATAACCTTTCTGTTCCTTGCACTGGCTCGACACTGACTGCCTATCCACACGACGCTGCCGACTCGTTTCACCAAGTGTTTTATTGTTGGTGCCAAACAGTTAAAAGTCATAAATAACTTTAAAACCCAGTAAAATTCAAAATGTAATTATCTTCTCTGCTTAGCCCCAGGCCCTTCATATATCTTTTCCTGGCTGTCATGCATACATAACACATTTTTAATGACTGGTTACTAGCACAAGTACAAAATTATTTCATTCTGCCCCCCTCCCTTCCTCGACTGACCCCATGCCTGATATCAGCCAGACGGGGAGGGATTCAACAGACTCGGAGGAAGTGTCGGCAGAGAAAAAAACACAAAAATATTTTGGTGAAAACAACCGCTGGGACAATACCTGCAGCTCCAGCTGTTGTACGACCTGCATTTGCACCCGACACTGGGCCGTGCTCCTGTCATCCAGGGCGTGCTCATTGTTAAGATGCCTGGAAAACCAAAAACAGAGAAAACGGGGGGAAGAGAGAAAAAGCTGATGTCAATTTTCATTTTGGGATGTAGAGAAGGAAAAGGTTTACAGCCCAATCTGCTAACATTTGTATAAATGCCGTAACAGTGATTACAAGTGCAATGTTTAAAGGACGAGAAGTAATACTCCTTTAAACACAAAAGAATGACACTGAATATTTCATGACAGTCCTGTCTGCTCTTACAGTTTGCTGATAAGTGGGATGATTGAAGAATTTCAGGTTGGATACCTTTGCAAAAATTATGCACCGATGCCTTAATGTGATTTCTAACTCACTGCAGCTCTGCCTTCTCTGGCCGAATTAGCTTTTTTTTTTTACTGGGAAAAAAGTGTTTTGATTGTTAATTTTATCATTAAAATGAGAAGAATTCAAATAAAGCCAGACCAAATGTAGAGGACAACAGGACAAGGAGATGGGATCTGTCACAAACTTGAATTATGGATATAATTATGTGCGATTATTTTATTCAGGAAAGATGTTCTCTTTTCCAGCCCGTTTATAACTAATCTAAATAAGTAGCTCGCCGGGCAGCAGACAGGGTTTTTTTCCCTGTGATTTATATAAAATGGTGGAGATAAGGTTCACAAGTGAAGGAAATATGATTGGAGGAATTTTATCAGCTGCCGCATGAATTACTGTTTGAAAATGCTTATGCAGGGGCATTTCATTAATCATTTAATCATAATCCGAGCAGGATGTTTGAACTGATTTCACAAATACCCTTTCATTTCACTACTTCATTATGCTCGCTAATGGATCCAATATATTATATATATCATAAATTATATCGCATCTGCAGTGACCATGTAGGTCACTGTCACCAGGCACGTCTGCGTGTGCACAAAGAGGCGCAGGCAGATGGGAGAAAGGTGAGTATCGCCGCTGCCTCTTCGGATACACTTTTTCTGCCATTTACCGCAAATAAAAAAAAAAAGCCAGTCAGCTTGCAAAGGCACAGAGGCAGCGTTGGCTTTTCTGACGGCCCAATAAATTTGATGCCATTACTTCGTGCTCACGCTACACGTTCGTGCATTAAAACACCACATTTACACTCAGAAAACAGACACGTGAAAGGAGGGGAAACTGATAGAGACTTCTGTGCAGCTGCGCTACTGTCAACCGTGATGTGAGTTATTTAAAAAAATAAAATAAAAATTGAGACACCACTCTTCAGGTCCACCTATTGTGTTTTGCTTGTATTTTTCTTTTTAAAATAACTCGTACACATTTGTCACTAGAAGTTAATTACTAAATAAAATAAAAAAACATTTAAAAATTAAAAAGGCATATCTAAAGCCAGCGTGGCAAATAACCTCCTCTGCTGAAATCAATTCTGACTTCTTTGGGCTTTCCATTTGTCTGAATCAAATAAATGCCCGTTTAATTGAGGGGGTCGGAAAATGAAAATGGTAAACATTTCAGGACATCTTACTAAAATTTCAAAGAAGAAAATAATAGGTAAAGACATTTCAACTCCAATTTAACCGGCACAGACTGAATTTTCAATGAACGGTGGCCTACGTGAGCAGCTTCGGAATTTCTCTGTTCATACAAGACATGTGCCCTGCTTCTTTTCATCCTTTGTTACATTCCACTTTATTTCTCCTAATGACATGGAGAGTCACAGTGCATAATTAATAGGAAATGAAATATTCAAATGGCCCTAATGCAGCCTTGAGAGGAGTGTCTGGACACGGGAGCAGGGGATACGGGGAATTGACATCGAGAGAGACTATGAACGTTGGCATGTGTCACTATCTGAACTTCAAATGAAGCCACTTTTAAAAGCTCTCTGGCAGGATGACAGACTCTGATGTAAATGGCCACAATAAAACAAGTTAAACAGATATTCACACAGTCGGCTTTTTACATATCGGCTAGTTAGCCTTTTTCTTTCCTCCCCTCTCACCGTTTCTAATCATATGAGCCGGAGTCACAGCTTAAGGCTGTCTCTGAGGAAGGTTTTATCTTCCCCACTGCTGGATGGAGCTTAAATTAAATGCACACATCTGTACGTGAGTATTTACATTTTAAGAAGAAGAAAAAAAAAAATTAGAACAGGAAATTTATCCATACTTTGTTTGATAATTAGGAAATAAAAAAAATATTCTTTCAAATCTGACTAATTTATTTCTTAAAAGACTATTTCATAAATATTTATTTTGTGGTTATTTTTCTATTTGCATCACTCGGTTAGAAAACTGAGCACACTGTGCTGAGGTGTGAGGGATTGGTCGCTGAGCTTTAAGCCAGAGACAGTGCAGCACTAGAGGGCACTGCCGTGTTTCACTGGCTCTGACCTCTGACTGGACACTGAGGAGAAGGGTCTTGACCCTCATAAAAACACCGGGCTCTGCTATGAGCCCAGCCCCACCCCTCTGCGTGCTGGACCCTGAAAACAGGAACAGGGATTTGGTGCTTTGTATTTATCAAGATTGTGCGTGTAGGTATGTCGTGTTTTCTTTAAAAGATAAAGTAAATACACGCGCAGTTTAAAACAACATTTCGGGCCAGTGTTAGTTGTTACTGTTGGCATGTGGAGCTGAAATCTGTTTGACGTTAGAGTCCTCCTCACCTCTCTGTCTCCCCGGTACACAGTACACTCTGTTCTGCTGACTACACACACGCACACACCTCTCTTTACTTATATTTGCAACCTTGGGGGACTTTGGAAGGAGCATTATAACGTCTGATGTATTCTTTGTTTTTTATTTTTGATTCTTCTTGGAGGCCGGCGGTATCAGTTGCTGGGCTTCATGTGGAAGTGCTTAAGGGTTTGAGAGTTAACACCTTGGTGAGCTGCTTGCACTCTTGCCTGCTGTTAAACAAAGGCAGCTTTGTGGAGACTCTCCCCAAATGTTTTCTTAACATGTTCCAAGCAGTTTGAGCAGGCAACTAAAGTAAACAAGATGTTGCCATGATAAAAACACTTGTAAAAACATAGTTGAGTGCACTTAGACATTTTGAGGCAGAGCTCCACCGGGCACACTGACTTTAATTCTCCTCGGTTCTATAAACAAAGGGTGAGGCCATGTCAGAACACAATAAATAATGATAGATTTAAACAGGCACTCCCTAATCTGAAATATGTGCGAAAATGTGTGTGAGTGTGTTACGGGATTTAATAACTCAGCGGGACAGGATGTTTATCAAATTAAAACAGTAATACATGAATGCCTCTTTATACTCTTGCAGACAGTGATCTACCTGACAATATGCACCGAGTACCAAACACAAGCCGGTTCGAAGCAGATTTGTGTAAACACTAAAAAGAAGATTTAGGACGTAGAAAAAGGCTAAACCTTTCAGCAGCTTTTGAGGTGGTCCTCTGCAGCACCTTTTTCTCATGCGTCTGGGGGTTGGAACTATGTGTTCGCTGAGTGCTTGTTTTAGGATAATGGAATTGTGTCATATCTTGTTTAAAGTGAGACTAATCCGGGGTGACAGTGAGGCATTGATCTGCTGCCACAACAAAGATGTTTTCATCCTCTCCGTAACCATGGAACTGTTATGTGTTGGATTACCTAGAGCGCACTGCACACAGGGTTGATTAGTAAACCAGGGATCCGACTCAAATGGGAAACGGAGAGAGAAACAAGGGCCCGAGTCAGTCCAACACACCGTAAAGATGCTGCAGACAACGGCGGGCGATGCTGACTTTGATTAACCACGTGGGCCACCTTAAAGTCTTAAAAAAGGATTCAATTGTTTGCGGTCAGGTAAATAAACCTCACCGCAAAAAATCTAAAATCTTGTGCTAAAAGAAGGACAGGGAGCAGAACGAGAAGGCAGCAGAGGCTCTGCCCGGTGACAAGGGCAAACACGCAGAGCTCCCTGAGTGTTAGCTGCCACAGATAAACATCCTGCCGTTGTTTGTTTGGGAAAAACGGCCCCCATCACCATAGGAACTGCACTTATCACAGGAATTAGAGGCCCATGCAGTTCCCAGACGGAGACCCTGCCACAGTGCCCTTTTTTCGAGAGAGGGCCAACCCAGACTCAGCAAAAACAACCAGCTGCACCTGCAGTGCCTCCGTGTTGCCGGGGGGTCACGGAACATGCAATCGACCAAAGAAAAGAGGACAAACAAACTGTGAGGGAAAGGTACCTCCAACTATGGCTTTTACTTACTTAAGGAATGAATGGAAATCATCGAAAACCGCCTCACATCCAGGCCACTTGCAGACGCCGTGGCCATAGAGAGGGTGACTGTGGGGGGAAGGCTCTTCCAGTGTCGACCTGAGGGTTTCAGAGGGAAAGTTATCAGAAAAAAATAACCCATCACAACATGAAGAAAGGTCAAAGATGATAGCCGCTCCTGTTAATCCGGAGCCTCTCTGTGTGTACTGGGTCTTGTTTTCACGGGGAAATATTGACTTCTACTTGATCTGCGAACCTTAGGCTTTGTGGAGTCAGTGCACCTGTGTGATCATTTCTTGCTCCGCTTTTAAAAAAGAGGGAACTCTTGTTGCGAAAGCACAACCAAATCAATATGTAATTATTAAGTATCACTGAGCCATGTTGCAATTCACTTTGATCAAGACGGCTAGGGGGCACCCTGTGTTGCTGCTTTTCCACTGCTGCCTGCTGCATCATGTACCACAGCCCACCTGGAGGAGCCTGTAACACAATATGGAACCCCTACTTTCACACCGTGTGCAAACTGTAAACATCCCCGCCTGGTATCAATTTATCTCCTGACCAATTCATGTCACCAGGGGCTGACAAGAATGCATCTATGGGGAGCGTATGGCTTGGTACAATCAGTCTAAATAGCAGGAATATCCCTGAAAAACAAACTTTACAACATCTTCCATATGGCGAGAGGCGTGGAACCACAGCTAACCACAATCAGAGCTGAGAGAAAGCGGCCTGTGTCTGCTAAGAGAGCGAGACAGGCAGCCATATGGACACAGGCACTATACAAGACACACAACTTTCAGATACAAGAGCCTGGGGGACTGGCCTATATTGCTACCACCTGTGCTTCTGGCGGCTGGTGAGCACGATGCTGCTGCTTCTCCTCCAGTGTGAGCCCCACTCTCTAAGACAGGGGGACAGATAAGGAGATTCATTGCACAACAAACTGTTGTGCTCCCACAAGACAATACCTCCAAGCCCAAAACTCCCATCGATTTACACATATCCAATAAGAAATAATGTTTGCTTCTTTCTTTATTTTTAGTTCAGAAAGGGACAAATTAATTCTGAAAAATCGCATCTAGCAACTCTATAGTAATTCATCCGTCAAAAGTGATCCAAAACCAAATTTGTGACGAGGAAATTTAACAGGTTGCGCCAGTTTTTGCAGGATTAAACAAGATGATGATCAGATTAAAATCTCATTTGTATCAATGTTAGCAAAGCCGTATCTCAAGTAGGAAATTTTAAAGGTCCTCACAGGTTTCCTTATGTTATAATTACTTGCTTAAGAGTTCACATTGTTCATAACATGTGATAATTGCATAGCAATTAGGGAGCAGTCAGGCATTCATGAATGTGGTTAGCAGTTTTTTCTTCTTCCCTCTTTCAAAAATCAGAATTTTTTTCAATTCAATTATGAATTATGCATTCACATTAAGACCTCTGTTTTGATACAGCTAATAAATAGATGGCTGACGACCGTTTATAATGAGTTTTTGATAAGGAAATTTGTGGACTAGTGAAGGTAGCGCTGCCTTTTAATTTAAAGAGATCTTTTTATAATTCTTTGCGAGGAGGCTTGTTGGTTAATTTTGTATTAATAAGATATTGAAATGTGGAGTGGACTGGGAGTCTGGAGGCAAAATAGCCCTTTTATATAGTGGATGGCTAAACAGTGGTTAAATGACAGACTCTACGCCAAATGAGCTACATTAGTGTAAAAGGAGAAGAGGGTGGTTTTCGTGGATTTTTCTCCAATTTCAGAAGCCCTTCTTTGAAAACAAATGAGAGATACGCAGTTCCTTGTGTTGCGTTAAATTCCAATTGCACCTATGACAGCCTGCTCAGGGTGTTATTTTGTCAGACAGCCCAGGGGAGCAACATCGTAACGATCCCATAACGGCAATGAGAAAAACTGCACCATCAGCTTTCTACGATGGAGCTGGGATGCTGAACACACTTGGATGTGGACAGGTAGAGCCTGAACCTCCCGGGCGTGGGCGGCATGTTTACGTGTGGACGGACGGTGACAACGATGATTCTGACAGCTGCTAGCCAGCGGTTTTCTCCATTACTTACATTGATGAGATGCTTTGGGCCATAAACAAGTCAAGATCCATAGTGACTCAATCTATCTACAAAAGATGGGAATATTGATGGCCTCCACGCTAGGTCAAGGGTCCACCCCACGTATGTCCCTTTGCTGTTGGTACAGCTGGCATGTTCTGTTGTGTCACACCCCCTCCTCCACCCTCTATCCATACGTCGTGCGCCCCCCCAAGTCTGTCCTGGATCCTTCCTCCTCTTTGTACCAATGCATGCTTTACCCCTAAATGATTTAATTAGCATTTTTTTCCTTGTGTAAGACAAATGAAAGGCGCGAGAGAGATGGGAGAGCTGTGCCAAATCTGATTATTTATCTCCTTAACAGAATGCTGTGTTACAGTCCCTGAGCTGTGGTTACTGATGGTTGTTGGGAAGTAAAGTGGGCCAAGTGCTTTGTGAGGCCGCTCCCCCTGTTCAGAGCTGATGCAGCACCGTATTGGGAATTTGTGTCAGATACAGATCAGGCACGTTTGATTTAAATAAGCAAATCACTGAATAAAGATGACCTGGCTCACAGGGGTATATCTCTATCTGTGCATCACTTTACGTCGGCGGGGAAACAACATACTCTGACAGATTGAGTGACTCAGGCTCCGGTCATATCCGGTATGTTATTCAGACAAACAGAAGTCCCAGCCTGCCCTGCCAGGGTGTTTTTTTAAACAAGTAAGAGCAGGCACACGTGCCTCATCTTTGGTGTGTCAAGCCGGCAGTGATTGAATTTCTCCTCCTTCCTTAAGACGGAAGTGCAAAGCCGGTGAGTGATTCCTGTGGATGCACTTAAGGTTTTAGTTGCAGGCGTCGTTGTGCCTGGGCAGATTTTATATGACACATGAAACTAACTACATGGTACTTAGGGCCTCCTGTAAACCAATCTGAAGCCAGTCGGGAAAACAGGCCCATCAGCAGAGAGGCTTGTTTCTGTTGCATGACAAAAGGACTCGCAAAACCGCATCAATTAAAAGTTCATTAAGTTCAGCACTGGGAGGATGAGAGGATGCTCTCTATTTACGCCCAGGCCGGCCCAGCCCATTATCTTCAACCTGATTATTCAAATCCCTGGATTATAACACAGACTTTCTCAGAGCCTTGCTTTGAATAATCATACTTAATAATACTTCATGTTTCTTCGCGTAGAGTCTGATTAGAGTTGAGTTGGCATCATCAAAAGAAAAAGCACTTGATAGTTAACGTGCTTCAAAAGGAACACAAGACGAGGATTATTGGTTGTGGGAATCTAAATCAGCATCATTCAGTGTTTATTAGAGAATGTTTTGTGCTCACTTTGCATCGGCCCTCTCTTAGTAGCAGCACATTTCAAACTCTGGGCAGGTAATCCACTTGCTCGAATAAGAGGGGGGGAGGAGAATCACCTGCTCGCTTTTTCTGACAGATCTAAGATACAGCGAGAATATTCAGACTGAGACTGCCTTCTTCACTTAAGCCTGTGTTAAACTGCTGCTGACATCTTCTTTAATCTCTGACAGTCAGAGCGAGGCAGAGGGGCTGCCAGCTCTTGTGTTATGTCTTCTCCGATGTTTCATGGAGCCTTCAGCTGAGGCTGCCTCGTGCCTTTTGCTGCCAATGGTGCTCACCTTGTTTGAGACAATGTTCGACGGAGTGAGTGAGTCGATATCCTCCTCTGTGATTTGTCTTACTCTATCCTAGAAAATAACCCAGACTATCAACCAGACTTTGGATGACAGACTGGAAGCCAGTGGATACTGTTATCTCTCCTATCTCCAGACTGTACTGAAACTTTTTAAGAAACAGTGGGGGGAAATAGGATGAGTCTTTACAGGTAAAACTGAAAGCACTTAAAGAGAATCAGCCGCTCTCCAGAGAAGCAGAGTACATCCTCCTTCGTGTCGCTTATATCATCTCTCCACCCCTCATGTCCCTCCCCACTCACAGTCCCCCTTCACCTCCGCAGACCTGCTGGTTTACAGCGCTAAACGTGTTTTCATCAGCATTGCTTTCATACCGCCGCGTAGGTTTTGATCACTGAAATCCAAGTCTGATGTTATGCAGTGAGCTCATGTGTGCCTGGAGGCTCCTCACTCGGAGTTCAAAGATCAGGCTTTTGTTGAAGAAAACAAGCCAGCGTGCACGATGCCAAATTAATTCCTTCCTCAAAGACAAACTCGCATGCACACAGATGACGGCAAATGCCTCTTACGGATGATTCAGCCTTGTTTTGAACATATGATACTCCCCGTGTTTGTTTGTTTTTGTTTTTTTTCCACAGTATCATAGATTTCTGTTCTTGTCATGTTTTATTTAAATTCTAAACTAACAAGTATGTTTTACATGTCAACAGATTTCCAGTTCATGGGGATTTCTATTTAGATGAAAATATACTGGTAATTAGCACTCTCAGGGAAATGCATCTTAAATAAAAGCATCACTTTTTCCTAATCCTCTTTATAATCATTAACAATAATCCATTTCAACATATTTTTTTTTTAATCACTAAATTATTACGGGTGTTTCTCCTGGCTTCCTGAGGAAATAAAAGGTCACATTTAGAAACACTAAGATCCACATGAACTCTTCTTAGCCTGCTCGCGGCTACTAAACCCCGTGTTTGAGAAAGGGGGGATCTGGAAAATGAAAATAAATAACATGGCTCGATTTATTTTTTTGCATTGAAAGCTTTGTTGTTGTTAACCGTTAACATGGATGTCTGAGACCAATCTGTCGTACATTCACAACTTCTGGACCAATCAGTGCGACTGACAAATAATTGCTGGACGCACACAGACCACTTTTCAAACTCTCAGACAAATGCTGAAAGTGTCGACATAAAGTCATTCACTCATTGTATGAAAAAAAAGATGGAACACTGTGTACTCTTAACAAGTTTTCAGGTGAGGCTATTTTTTAAAAGCGGAGCAACTACTGACTCAGCAGGTAAAACATCTCTAGATGTAGCTGATATCTTTGGCTGGGCGTGTGTGTGTATGTACAACCAAATGAACAGGTTTAGGGTTAGATCGATTGATGTATATCTTAAACTCAGGATAGATTGGACTACAAAAGAGAAGCAGGTCAATTGACACCAAGTTGGTCAAAAATAAAATAAGTATTTTGACTTGAGCAGTTGCATTTTATATTAACACATCCTACAAAGAATCCCTCACCATGAAAAGACACATGCAGATAAAACAAGGGAGTAACTAGAAGAGGGGCACAGGAAGGAGGAAACTCACCCTTCTCTCTTGTGACTCATGTACTGCCCGTTGGTGGCTGCATGCTGGTTGAGGAGGGGGTTCTTTGGCGGTGCCGGGGAGGACAGGTCAAGGCCTCGGTGGCCGTTGTTGCTGCTACTGTTGTGCTCTTCCTTCACATGAGCATTAGTCACCTCTTTCCACAGTTGTTGCAGCTCTGCTGGAATCATGCCTGAGACAAACAAATTGGATAATTAAATCAATTAACAGCTAATCCGACTCTCCTCTTCATCACCTAATTAAATCAAAGCATCTGTAAACAAAGCCGAGTATTAATTAGAAAATACTCCACTACAGGGTAATGCACAGAGATCTCAACACCCCCCTCCCCCCAAACCCCCAATGCCTACTTCTCTCTCCCTCTTGCCCGTGATCTGAAGCGTGTTTGTATACACAAATCCCTGGCATTCACGCACATTTCATGCCCAGAGTAAATAATTAACATCCAGACAAGGCATGAAATCTGAATAATCACCATCATTTTCTCGGAACAACAGAGATGTGCAGAACACACACACAGGAAAAAGTTTACAATAGCAACACTAGAAAACATCTCCACCCCTGTCTCCTTGAGAAACAGGACCCTGGGGTAATATTCTCAAAAGCGCATTAATGTGCAAAATACTTAAAGCTCTGCACCGCCTCCAATTGACACAGTCGACTTAAACCTCATTTAACGAGTCAAGCACACTGCAGCTCTCGTATCCCATTTTGAAAAAAAAAGAAAATCCCTTGAAGACAGAAGACATTTTTCTGTTTGTGTTGAAAACACAACTACAGAGTGTTGATTTCTGAGTGACTGCTTATAGGCAGTATACTGTATAGTGTAGGACTGACTAAGAGACCGCAATTCTCTTGTCAAACAATGAGGAAAAAGCTAACATGTACTAAAAAAAAAAGAAACGTAATAGGAAACTTCATGGTTGGAATCCTGTGGCTTCATTTTTTTTTTCCATTTCAAACTAAGGGCATCTGGATAAGCCTGATATAAATAATAGTAGTATATAAAGTATGTTAATAGGTATTGTTCATTCTAATCCCTGGTTATGGTGAAAGAAGCCCTTGGATATGTGGTGAACTTAACCACAGAACAAATGGGAGAGACCATTGGCTTTTCATTGCCGTGAGTTAAATCCCATTTTCAAAATGGGCACTGTCAGATGAAAGATGAGTTGCACATGCTTATCTAGTGGGGTTTATATCCTCTGGACCCTCACAAGCCCCCTCCTGTTTCTCATCCCCAGCTCTACAGATACCAGAAGTGCTCCTTTCAAGCCCCAGATTGTAATATATTGTGTGCAAAATGCTTACTCTTAATTTATTCCTGTTGTGGAAAATAACTGTGAGGTGAAGATCTCAATATGATCAGCAAAAATATTTTTAATTTGATAAGCTACTAAAGATTTTAATTATGCTGGTAATGGAGAACATTGGCCTAATGAGGCGGAGGACTCCAGAGAGACGCAGAGGCTAAGAACTGTGAAATGAGTCTGATAGGATTGCTGTAAATTCACACCAGATCGTTTGCATATCAAAGAGCAGGAAATGATTGCAGGACAAATCAATAACCTTTCCACGTTCCAAGGAGCGTCTTTCCTCATTCGAATATTTCAGCACACTTGCTCTATTCTGTCTGCCTGCATTTGCCCTTATTCTCTTCATTGCCTTGATGTGCTCTAATCGAACTGCACGTCTATGACAGCCCAAACATGCTTAATATCGGAGTCTGTGTTACAGCATGCTAATCGGCTTGTTGTTGCTCTCCAGCCGCATTACCAAAGGACCCATTGTTGTTTTGATGGTAGAAGAAGATTTGGGGGGATTTTTGCTTCCTTTTATTTTTGCTATTTTTTTTTAGAGGGTTTGAAAGGGGAAGGTCAATGCTGATGTGAGTGTCCTGCGCTCCGACAGCGGGAACAATCATTTTCCCCCCACTTGGTGCCCGGTGACAGTGGGTGATGTATTTTTAGCCAGTATGCTTGACAGAGCAGCCCACACTGGCTCAATTACCCAGCAGTCCAGGTGACCCCAACCCCACTGTTTACTGAGACGAAACCAAGGCAGATAGACTGACCCGATGAGAGAACCGGTGGAATGGGACCAACATCCCTCCCAGCATCGACTCTGTTGTTTTATTGCTCTTTGTTCGCACCTTCATTCTAAGTGCTCCGCTCTAATCTTAACCTCTTCCAACTCAACAACAGCTACGGCTCATGATTCCTCATAAATGACAATAAAATGTCGTTACACAAATGTCTCGCTGGGTATTATATTTTGTATTCGGACAAGATGCAGTGAGTTTCCCTCCATCTGATTACTGTGGGACACGTAATGACATTGATCTGAAAGTCCCTTTTCTTAGGTCCCCGGTTTGTCCATCCTTGAAATGCCAGATTGGTTTATCTTTCCGCTTTCCATTTTTCAACACAACTTTTCCTCTCATTACGACTGGGAAATACGGACAGGCACTTTAAAAAATGTATGTTGTTGGGACACTTGATTGATCACCGGCCTCCCAACTCAATTTTAACTCTGCAGGTAGCTCTGGCACCGAGACAGGCCGAGCTCTTCAACCTTTTCCTGTCCTTGTCCCCGTGTACCCAGGTGACCATGTTCAAGCAAGCAGAAAGTTGATTTAAGGTTCATAATGACATCAGTTGCAGGCCATCATCCCCCAAATAAAAAATGGCCCCCGGTGCTCCGGGCTCTTTAAACCGCGCTGTTACTTCTCACACACAGTGCCGGTGCCATGGGGGGACAGTGACATCGCTATTAGTTTATTGTTCCATCAGACGGGGACCTTTACTGCACCCCTGTTTATGTTGCCGTAATCACTGGCCTGCTGATATGCACCCCTTAGGCCTGAAATATGTCCTGTCTTAATGCTGCGGGAACTATTACCAGCGGCCCACTGCTGGACGTATCAATCACTGACAGGTCAGCCGCCTTACCTACCGCTGTCCTCCGTGTGCCGCTGCTCTGTGAGCACTTCATGGCTCGCAACATTCTTTGCTTTCACATTACCAACAAATTTGTCTTGTCACTGTCCCACTGGCCTGTCTCAGACAGCTTAAATGATGTTGTACGGCCAGAGGAACTCGCTCTCTCTGTGGAGCAACCTCTGAGGGTGAGGGTCCATTTCAGTCAGGATGTGCACAAAGACGGGCCACTTCTGCGACAAACACACACACACACACACACACACACACACACACACACACACAGCATGTTTGCCTGAGCAAAAACATGCGCGCACACACACCTGAGCAGCCAATGACTCACTTATCAGGTCATAAGGACAGGCTTTTTGTGAGGCGGGTGAGAGGGGGGTGGTTGGATCAAATTCATATTTATGAGAGTTACATCCTCCCCAAACACATTGTGGTAATTTATAACAGATACCGTCTGGCTGCTTCCAGGACTTTGAGCATAAATGTCAAAATAATTTATTACAAAGGAGACAAATTATCTGGCAGATAATGCGAGCAATTGTTTTTCACTTTAAAAAAATTGTATCCGCAAGTTTACGCGTTTTAATGCTATCAGTGTTTTTGCACAAACTCCCTCAGTCCAACTGTAAGGCAACAAAGAAAAAGACTGGTGGAAAACGATGTTGTAAACGGCATCCAGGCACCCAAAGGCACACCTAATTTCCTGTCATTTCTCTGCTACTCAACAACCTTTTGTTGCTTACAGTCTCTATGCACGTACGAACATGGCTACAGCAGATTGCATGCATTAACGTTGGCCTTTTCAAACAATTATACTGATATCTACATTTCTAAATGAAAGAAATAAAAATCATCAGTTAAAAAGTCATGGCAATTTACTGCCTCCAAGTTTGAATCCATAATCGCGGGGACGCAAACAGGCCAGATCGACTCATCACTTCCGATGCAGTGCTAACTGCTAGCTGAATATTGCAGATTAGATCTGAGCACCATGGGCCTGGCCCGCTGATGCATGAAAGAGTGTAGTGATGTGGAAAACAGAAAGGTCATCAATAACTTCAAACAGTCAAGCAGAAAATGTGTAGAATAAGAAGACAAACTGGGGCCCTGGAGCACTAACCTAAGTGTTGTAACAGCTGTCGGAGACACAGAGTTAAATATCAGGGCAAACTAACCAGGTTTGACTGGCTGTAACAAACTGAAACAAAACAGCTATTGTTTTTGGACAGAGATAGATGCTCTTAACGAGGCTTACACGCACAATTCACCCTTTAGATAAGGCTTCATTTTCCAATTTTTTTCATGTAACTGTTCTGTATTCAAACTTGGATTTTAAACTAAATTCTGTCTGTTTAGATGAAAACTGATTGGGTATGGTGGTTAACTGATGCAGCCATTTACCAGGCAAAGCATGCCTCTAATCTTAAAAGTCCGGACACCCACTTACCTGATAAGATGAGATGCCTCTATGATATTTGACGATGATATAAAATAAACAGGATGTCTGAGCCCATTGTGAAATCCATGAAAAGTACAGTACCTGGCCTTATCAGTCATGTAATGCTTTACTCGAGGGGTGTGTGAGTGTTTACCAGACATCTGACACATAGGAACTCAGCAAAGCGCACTCTCAACAACAGCAGAGCCCCACGCCTGCGCCCATGGCAATCGTCTGTGAGCAGATGACTGATTCCATAGCCAGTCCAAACAATAACACCACTGTACAAACCCTGTTTGTGTTTGCCTATTACCTAAGCACCCCCCCCCCCTCCTCCTCCTCCTCCATACCCTCCTGTTTTTTTCTTTTTTATCTTGTTATTTCAAAACTGTTTGTCTTAGCTGGGAATGAATAGTCAATGTCATGCTCTAACAACTTTATGACGAAGTCTTTGTCACAAGGGGACCACTCCTTTACAAAACATTTCAGGATAAATAAAGACGTAAACGTCTTGGCCAAACAACAAGTATTGACTCCCTATCAAGTAACTGCGGGTTTCACAACGACAAGTTCACTGGCAGTTTACGAACAATAGATCAAGCCGTCCTGGAGGCTGAGCTGGGGGTTGCCACCAACCTGCCTATCACAGACCATGACTTAGTGCGCATCTTCACTTTTGAGCTTCGCCATATTTCACAATGATGTTGTAACGGAGACTTAGATTGGAAAGAAGCCACAGACAGGGCACTGCCAGGAACGTGAGGCAAAAGATGCAATTTAGTAAACTGGAGAATGTACAGAAGGTGTGCTCTGAGTGAGTGAAACCATGAACAATGTGTGGCTAAATACATAAGCCGAGGACTGTTTACTTTTGTTCAGCAAATTTGCACAGGTATTGTATCACGGAAATAACAGTGGCAGGTCAAACGTCTGTGAATGCTTTGTCACACAGCTACACAACAGCTTCCTGATTGATAACGTCAGAAATATTCAAAATCCATTTTAAACGTCTCATTTCTGGTGCTGATATTCACCCACGGCAGAGAATTTAGTTAGTAAATGTGCTTTACGTGTATTCTGTGAGTTTTTGGAGTGAAGCTTTGTGATTTGTGCAAAGATCAGTGTCATAATTAGTTTTCCTTTCTTAACCTTTTTGAAATATGCAGTCACAAGGCCTATTCAGGTGACTTCTATTATTAGAGGAAGTCAGCTGCGCAAGATGAAAGTTTTACATGCAAAGTGAGGATCCACAACACATCAATCAACTAATATTGCAGGAAATTGTTCTATAACCCAGAAATATTACATTTTCATCCAACAGCAGAGCAAATATCACAGCCAAACAAAGTTGCTTGCAAACGCCCGAATGAAAAAGGAGGGAGCCGGGTTTTTTAGAACGAAATGCTTCAGCTGAGAGGGGGAAGTGAAACGGCTGGGGGGTGGGGGGGGGGTGGGGGGGGGGGGGGGGGGGGGGGGGGGGGGGGGTGGGGGGGGGGGGGGGGGGGGGGGGGGGGGGGGGGGGGCTACTGGGGTACTGACCCTGAGTGAGCGTGTGCAGTGGCAGGCCGGTCTGTCCTGGCTGGATGGTGAGCAGGCCTTGCCTCTGGAGGTTGAGCAGGTGCTGCTGCTGGACCTGCTGGACCTGCAGAAGCTGCTGCTGGAAGGCCAACTGCTGGGCCGACACCTGTTGCTGGTGGGGAAAAAAAAAAAGAAAACCAGAGAGGCGTGCTGTTAGCAAACACATGCACGGTATGTAAAAGCATGGGGGCCGGTACGGATTCGTGCTTCGGGCTTGTGCCGTCCTGAATATGTATACAGAAAACATCTTTGAGTTTAAGGCCACCAAGTTTACAGTAAAGGACGAAACACAACAAGACGTAACCCGGGCTGGTTCATAAAAACAAAACTTGTGGATCCCCCTCTCAATACATGTAACATTCATACATTTTTCCATAAGTGTTGGTTTATCTGGACCCACTTAAGACAGGTAGACGATACATCTCTGACTCTCTCTCTTTCGCTCTTAATTAACGAGGAGTCAGGAGGCAAATGACAAACAATGAAACAACATAGTTAATCATTCATAATAAGAGCCACAGGAATTTAATTACAGCCATTCATAATTCAGCAAACAACGTGTGACTAAATCAAAGTGCTTAATAACCACCCGAGCAGCTCACAACTCTCCCAGGCACGGTGCTGCGCTCGGGGACGCACTCTTCCCCCAACCAGCGCAGCGAGCTGTGTTCAATCGCACACCATGGACTGACTGAGGCTTTTTGTTGATTTCACGGGGCTACAGTTGTTTCATCGAGAAAGATTTAATGAAAAACTGGTGCGTCGGCTCTGACTTTGGGGTGAGGAGGGGGGGGAAACTTTGGCTGGAAAAAGTGAGACGTGTGAACTTTGATGGGATGAAAAAGTGATATGAAAGTGGAGAGGAAAAAAGACAGGTCAGAATAATAAATAGGAGGAAATTATCTAATATCCCCAATCTCCTATGAGTCAAAACAAATGAGAGATTTTATTTAGATAGCAGGGGCACTCGGAGGGGGGGGACTTTTAACCCTTTTATCAATCATTCTTCTCAATAAATCCACAAAGGCTCTGTTGAACAAGCTGATCACCTTGTGTCCTTTTTAAAAGGTATAGACGAAATAAGCATGTCTGAGACTCAACAGGATAGGAGGTCTGTTTATGAGTACACAAGGTCAGTTGTCAAGCGGGAGAGTGGCGAGGAGGGGGCACTAAAAGTGGTGCCGGGGCTGCCAAGCTCTGCGCCGCACCCTTTTACCAAACACAGGATACACCACTTTGTTTGCTTCTCACAATTGAGTACGCACAAAAAAAAAAAAGAAAAGAGAAAAGGTCTCTGAGCAACATGGCAGCCGGGTCAGCGGCGAGCGGCTACGGAACAGCCGGATAAAACGGGTCCCCCCTCCGCCCTCCCCTGTTTGGCGTGTCTAAAGGGGTCCCGCAGCCTTCCTCTGCCCCTCTCGTGTCTCACACCCAGCGTGCTGCTCCTGAGCTGGCTAGCTAAAAATAAAGCGCCGGACAGAGCATGTCTTCTACAGCGAGCGAGCTCATCTCATTGGATCAATCGGGGGAAGAGGGCTCTTCGACAGAGCCGTAGACGGTCATGACTGAAGAGTAACCGTGTCCCTTCTCAAGCCAAAATAAGAGGGAGAAAGTGGGACAGGGAGAGAAGGGGGAGGTTACAGGATGCAGGTGGCCAGGGATCTTCTCCGATGCTTCCTGGTTATTAGAGGTGGTTAGTTCGTTTCCTCCTTCCACCAGTGCGAGAGAAGTTTCTCCTTTCTGTAATTCTTTGTTCATCAGCTCCTCCCTGACAGCCCCAGATAAAGATAATAGTGCTACGGGGGTGGGAGTTCACAAGGAACAATGTCTTTCATCAAAACGTTAAAGAAATAGAGGGTGGCTTTTCAGAGAAAAAAAAAAAGGAGAATAAAGAAAACGGAGCCCTGCAAATGAATTTAACCCTCTCCCCTTCACATTTTTTTTTCCTTACGGTCCCATCAACTGACAGCAGCTCCTGTGCGCTCCCAGCATGCAGAGAGATTAAAAACCCCAGACCCAATAGACCAAATAAGAGGTTAACAAGAAGTGGCACAAGGGAGAGAAAAATACAGTCCCGACAAATGATAAAGAGTGGCAGTGGCAGGCCTTTATTGTCAAGCTTCAAATATAAAGTTAAAGATCTTTGAAAAACTAAATTTTGATGTCTTTAAAATAAAAGAGGCACAAAGCAACAACAGGGGGTTATTGTCTGGCAGCCACAGGGGAGTCACTGCATAATTCTTATTCTGTCTTTTGATGGCTGCTAGAAACGCGAGTGAAAAAGAGGGAGCGCGATGGGAAGAGAAAGAAAACATCGGCAGAGGGGGAGAGCCTCTTGAGGCTGCATCCATTTCCTGTGATCATACATAATATGCTTCAAAAGTAGTTTTTTTCTTTTATTCTCATGCTCCATTCAACTGATCAATTGCAACCCCCTCACCTCCCCCCCCTCTTTTCTCTTTGGCTCCTCTGCTGTTTACATCAGATGCGACTTGGTGACAGGCCCTATCTGAGGCCGAGGAGCTCTGCTGTCATGTTGATTTATGGGAGCATCACGCCACAACTTGTCCAAACTGAAGCCCGCAGTTCATTAATTAGGGAGCTGCAACTTTGAAGTTGGGACTTTCGACAGCGCACCGTGTGTGTGTGTGCGTGTGTATGTGGATGAGTGTGTGTCTGCTTTTAACACTGGGCTTAATTTTCTGTGCCTCCTTTACCCTCCAAGCATGGAACTCAATGGGGACGCGAGCAGTAAAAAAAAAAAAATTCCCTGATTGTCTTTGAACTTCTTCTGACCGCGCAATAATAATTTTCTTTGTCCACAGTGATGCCTGTATCCGCCTGTCATTAACACGCATTAAGCTGCTGCTTATGAACCAGCCCTGCTGCGCTATGGGGAGCGAACGGCAGAAAGTAAGAAGGGGGGGTGGAAGAAAAAAAAAACTGAACGCATGCAACAAAGCTGGGAGCACTCTCTGCACTGATATCTCACAATTACATGCCTTCTCTTCCTCTGCCATTTCCATGTTAATTACCACGAAAAGCCTCTCAGATTTATATGCTCCGTGTCTCTGCCTTTCATTATGCCCCACAGGGCTCACAGGGACTGTCACCTCTTTGTTGTGTTGGGCAGTTGTGCTAAAAAATTCTAATAAACAACAAAAAAAGATGAAAAATCAAACTGTTCAATAACATAAAATGAATGTAAATTAATGTGGCAATTAGTACAGAAGGAGGGACGGCGCATTCTCAGCACGACATCAGCCAGTTGTTACCATTTATCCAGCAGTCTGACATGCTAATCAGAAGCATGAGTGCCCTCCCTGAGCCTCTGCTTTAACCGCAGCCTTAAAGCAGATGGAGTCCAGGGAGGGAGCACACATGCCTTCCATGCTCTGTCTGGCTGACGACGTTTTGGAAAAGGCAGGCAGTCGGAGTGATGTCAGCCTACCTCTTTATTCTGCTTGCTGCCTGCATGCTGCTGCTGTAGGAGCTGGAGGTGGAGCTGTTCCTGCTGCTTTTTGTAGAATTCTTGAAGTTGCTGCTGCAGAAGAGACAGGAAGGTGACATATGAGTCAAAAGGCTGCTGCTGACAGATTCTCAGCAGTGCGTTTGGTGAGAATTGTTCAATACTTTCAGACAACATTGTCTGTTTGGCTTTAAAAAAAAGAAAAAAGAAAAAAAAAAGAGTGAGCAGAGGTTTAAAGTAAATTCATCTTCACGAGGCACATTCCCCTCATCAGAGGTGGAACAAAACAGCTTTGTTTGAATGCGGTGCCATTACCTGCTGTAACATGAGGGCCTGTTGCTGCTGGAGAAGAACCTGGAGCTGCTGAGGGCTCAGGACTTGCTGCTGAAGAATCTGCTGCATTTGTTGTGGAGTTATCACTTGAGGTGTCATCATAGCCACTGACACTGGAACCTTCAGAGGGACACAAAGAGACGAGCAGATAGACGTTTTTAAATTGTTTATTGTCCGAAAGCTCTCGAAATCTTTAAGCAGCATATGTACAAACAATAAAAAAACACACTTATTATCAATTAACATGGCTTGGATAATATAAAGGGACTTGAATAACAAGGAGTAAATTAACAAAAATACAGCCGGGACTAGATTAATCCAATTGGTAGAACACGGTAACCTAAGACCTTCCCCTCCTCACACAGGAAAACTCCACTGCACACCATGTGCTTTAACACCCCCACGAGCTCGCTGTTTATACAACATGGGAAAAATGTCACACCTGAGAACAAGTAAAAAATGGCAAAAAAAAATAAACAAATGCAGCAGTTCAGCCACGGCGTGTACGCGTCCCGTCCTGTCACGTCACGGCGTGCAGAGATATCTCATTAGAGACGCTGTCACTGGTGATCTGTTATTTTCGAGTTACGGAGCGCCCAGAGAAGGAGCCATGGCGAATAACACACAGGCCTCTAACTAAGTCTCACAAGAAAGGTGTGAGTGCACGAGTCCTCAAAACAAGTGATTTGTTGTGACACTGAAAGAGCGCCCATAGTTGTCAGGGTGCCTTAATTGCTCTGGCGACATGAGGGACTCGGAGAGTGTCTGGATGCTGCCACTCATTGCTATGATGTGCAACACCATTAAAAGCCCCTCTCCTTGACACTCGGGTGACAAACAGCAACTTGGACGTGCTCGATACTGTTGCGTCTTAGCAATTTAGCAACGTAGCATGCTACGTCGACGGTTCTTTTTTGTGTGTACGCCCACAAATACGTTCAACGTACATGCATAAGTGAGTATTAGCATGTGCGCGTGTCAGGCCGACATAAGTGGTGACAGTACTAAAACACCTCGGAGATAACGACAAACCCTTTGAATTTTTCATGTCTTTCTGAATGTAATTTAGCTGTTTAAGATCTTTTCCAGTAACTAGGGTTTTTTTTCTTTTTAGGGGGGAGGGGGGCACCCCTTCATCCGTATAACCTTCCTACTACCATTCTGGCATAAAACAAACACAAAGCACTTCCATAATGAGCTGCTTGTAGGGGAAAAAGTGGAAGACAGAGCGGCGGTGTCAAATAGGACGGCGCTGCTTTGATGTTCTCCGTTAACTTTACTGAGCGGTGCCAGGCTGCACGGGGCTGTGTTCTTTCAGCCCCAAGAGAATGACGGAGGCTCAGCCCCACCCAGGGCTAACGCACACTTTACATTTCTCATCTCCAGCGCCGGGCGCAGGGGGGCAAGGAGCAAAATGCAATATTAATTCCCCCTTGTATTTTGTCTTAATATGCAGTTCATCTTGACTTTTGCACATGACTTGTCCTGTCATTTGCATAGCCTCGCCCTCCCATTTCCTAATTTCACAGTCATTATCCACCAAAGTCCCCTTTTTTCCCTGAGCATCACTAATTTTGATGAACTATTTTGAAGGTCAACTGAGCAGCTTTGTCTTCCTGACATGAACCTTCAACCTTCGTCATATAATATCTATCTATCTATCTATCTATCTATCTATCTATCTATCTATCTAT